CTCGTCCTGGAGGAGGTGTGGCTTATGTGCACAACTCATTAATTATTCATTACTTTCTTTCGCTAGTTTAATTGATGCTTTAATTAATGTTTCCAGTTCATAATTAGCTCGTACTGGTACCACCCACTTGGGACGTCCAAACTGCTCATCAAGACTAGCCAGTAACTTTAACGGGAAATACTCAGACAACAAAATCTACTGTAAATGATAATTATTCTTATTAATGCACATCAATCCACCCACACATTTAATTATTAATTGATACATGTACAAACCTTTAACTTGTCCTGTATTACTGTCTCCGCCTCCTCTTGTTTGTTTACTTGTTTGTTGTTTATTGTTGTTGTTGTTACTTCTCCAGAGGAGATGGGGGTGTGTCTCCATTAATATCTCCTCCTTTATCGTCCAGTGAATTCAACTGAGTATCAACAGACATTATAAATTAACTAATAAGGAATAATGATCCTCCTCCTCCTATACTGTAGAGAGAGAGAGAAAGGACAATATTATTCTGCCCACCAGTAGGAGGGAGAAATTAAAAATGTGTCCAATACATGTACATTATTATTAGTAATAGACTCTGTAATACAATCAAAGATAAATAAAGGAAGGCCTTACCCTCCAAAGGACAGTGAAGGAGAGAGGGAGGACTGGAGGAGGTTACTAATTATACTCTCATTAACTGCCAATCTGATCCATGACCTTCACTTACCAGATAATCAGTCTAAACATATTGAAGACTATAGTCGGTTTCAGTTGAGTTTGACCAGATGTTTTCATCATCAAAACGTCATGTGTAGCCCCACCCACACGCAAATAAAATGGATGAAAATTTCATCATGCTCCTTTCTTCTTGTTGTAACTTGTTTATTACCCTATTTTGGTCACTGCTAGCCCTGCCATTGACATGAAGGATCTTTGTGCTTGCTATTGCCTGAAGAAAGAATCGAGAGATGCAAAAGTTCAACGGAGTTTCTGAGCGGCAATGGTGAAGAACGAAGGCTTAGAGAGGTACAGCAGACTGAGTGAGACTTCTTTCTGGAGTGCAAAGTCTTCTTGTTCAATTATATCTTGGCCTGGAGTGCTCCTTTTGCTTAATTTGATTTTTAAATAATAAAAACATGATTATTGACATATTTAATGAGATGCAAATGATTTCACGTCATGAAACATCATGGCGGCTCCCTTTCATGTTGACCGGAAGAACCTTTTGAGAACTTTCCAGAGTACCTAGAGACTCCAAAATTGGTACAGATTTTCGGAAGAATCCGTTTTGCAACTATACCAAGTTTCAAGTTGCTAGCATAAATAATAGAGAAGTTATAAGGGTGGGTCAGTGGTCAAACTCAACTGAAACCGACTATATATCTAAATGAAATTAAAATATAATAAAGATAAAAGTATATATGTACATTGTACACCTAAGATTGACTCCTCTAGCTACATGTACTGTACATGTGCATATAATTACCTGCATCATAGTGATAATGTCTCTTCTGGTAGGAGAGCCATCCATTTTCTCTTGTAATAACTTGACAGCGTCCATTGAGAGAAAGCAGTTGTTCCTTTAATGAGGAAGAGGGTGAGGTATGAGTTGTAGTGTGTAAGGATGGTGAGCGACATGACAATGAATTGAAACAACCCTATAAGAGTACATGTGATTGATTAAAATACATATGTAATGTGTATGTGTAATATTCAATCTACATGTACATGCAGGGCCGTAGCCAGGAACTTAAAATAGGGGGTTCGGAAATTGCTACGCGCAAAGCGTGCAGTGAAAATTTTGACGAAAATGGGCGTGGTTGGTAGGCATGGTCTTAATTTACGCATCTCAGCCATGTGCTGACTCAGCTAAAATGGCTATCTGTGCTTCTCGCTGTTGCCAAAATGCTAATCCTGCTTTTGCAGTGCTGTTCTTCATGACAGGAGCTAATCTAAAACTTTTTTGCAGCTACAACAGGGGGGTTCGTCCGAACCCCCCGAACCCCCCCTGGCTACGGGCCTGACATGTACATGTACATGTATAATATCTAACTGTATATGTACTTGTATAAGTACTATTAAGTACAATGTACATGTATTTCGTTGATACTTCAAGTGGAATGTTATCTTTCTCCATTCAATATTCTCTATACTAATATTGAGTCTCTGGTACATTCCACACCAATTGAGACATACAGAGGCTACCAATGTATGAATATCCTTAAATGTATCACTGTACTACCTTAAA